GTATATGGCTGAAATGTTGCCAGCAGATAGAGTAACGCAAGGTCTATCTGTGGTATAAATATGGAACCTAAAAGATGTTCCATCATAGAGAAATCAAAGAAAAAAGCCTTTCGGTTTTTCATGACCGGGGGGATATATGAGAGAATTTATCGAAAAAGTTCCCAAAAGAAAACATTTTAGAAACTGCTGCCATCTTGAAAAAATTTAAATTTATTTTAGACCAATTGCTGGTAATATCAATGTATGTCCAAAACGTTTGAGAGGCGATCGTAATTGGATAGATTTTGATCGTCTTGTTAGCACAATAAAACATGAAATTCTTCATACCTTGGTAATAAAAACTTCATCCTTTAATAATAATTAAGAAATGATTCAATCTTGAAATTTTTATAGGTGTTTTCTTCCGGTCTTTTTGCATTTTTTCGAGATATTAATGGAGAACCATTTACTGAACGTGATCCAGCGACACGATGGCCTAAAGTTTATGATGAAAAGTATGCCATAGATTTGAATTCATCGTGTCATAAAATTTATTTTCTACTAATAGATTACAAGTATATACACCTAGTGATAAAGTGCTTCAACAAATAGTAAGAAAAAACTGGAAAACTCGTGCTGGACTTATTGATAAAATTATATTAATGTTGGTCACACCAAAAGTTCAAGTAAATTGAAGATGAAAACCTGAAGAAAAAAAGAAAATGACTTCATTTAACATGTTCATATTTGTATTTCAGACTGTTGTACGTGAACATTTTGGTTGTTCAACATTAGAAGGAGCTGAACTTGAAAATCAGGGAAATATAGGTACTGCTTTAACTCATTGGGAAAAACGATTATTTGAAGTAAGTTTATTCGTAAGAGTTTTATTAATATCTATAATATTATGAATATATTAGCATGAAATAATGACTGGAACTTATACTCAGGAATCAGTGATTTCGAATTTAACATTAGCTTTATTAGAAGATAGTGGGTAAGATCAATTGACTTATATTTTATCATGAAATAAAAAAATTGATTAAATTTTTATTTATTTGAAAAGATGGTATGATGTGTCATATGAATATGGCAAACCTCTTCTTTGGGGACGTAATCTTGGTTGTGAGTTTGTTAAAACAAGTTGTAAAGAATGGATTGATTCAAAACTTGAAAAGTAAAATAATTTTATATAATATATAATGAATTTTATTTTCTATTTTCTTTTATAGAAAAGACAGTCCTTATCCATTCTGTATATCCCCACCAAAACCTAATCCTCCGAAGCGTATTTGCGATTATACATATGATAAAGTTGTTATGTGCAATCTTGTCGAATATTCTACTGCGTTACCTTTTGAATACCAAGTATGAATCAATATTTATTTAGAAAAAAAAATGATGTACATGATTGTATGGTGAATAATTCCAAGATAAAAGCAGTTGAAGATCGTGAACTTTTAGTATTCACAAAAAACAAAGACATTTCGTTTTATCAATCAATATAATATATTGAAAATATTTTTCGTTAGATTTTTGATTCGCAAGATGGTCGCTTCATAGAGATCATAAAGTTCGTTTGATCTACGAACGGTAGGTATTGCGATATAGTTTAATTAAGACATTAAAAAATGTCTAGCTCCATCCTTAGTCTTTCAATGATACTAAAATCAATACTGATGCTTATTTATATTAAATAAAGGGATACAAATTTATTAAACCAATATTTTAAAATAATAATGAATACAACAGAATACATAAATCTCTTAGCATATGTCTCAATATCTCTACCGTTTGCTATCGTTTTGGTTTCAACTTTTCCTCAAAAGATACAGCATGCATTAATAGGTATTAAAATAATTTTATCATTTATATATCACATTAGTTTGAGTACGTTTTATTGTTTATGAAATAGTGTTTTGAATAGTTGTAGCAATTGTTTACTAACCAAAAGAAACAGAAACTTATGTTACGAATTCATCATTGAAAGTTGTTTGCAATATATAATCACCATACTTGCCAAATTAATTTTTGGTTTATTTTTAACATACGCTTTTATATGGTTTGCTAGACAATATTATGTTACACCTTTCGGAAAAAAGTTCAGTTCTAAACGATAGAAAGCAGCAGACATATGAAGAGGCTTATTTATTCTGCCGCACCCGTTAGTAGTTTTAGTCGTTTATACCTTCTCTTTGATCATCAGCGATCTGCATAAACTGTCAGTCGGTAAGTTTGAAAAAAAACTGCAAAGGTTCGATATTTTAAAATAATTTTTTTTTTCTGCCACCAAACAAGATAAACGATGGAAATATATATATATATTTCGACGACAATATCTACTACTAGTATTAGTAATCAAACCTTTAGTTTTTCAACATCTAGAGCTCGGGCGTAAAAATTTGTTTGCGATACACAATTGTTCTCTACAAAGTGAGACATCCTTGGGCTCTCTATGACGTCTTTTTGTCTAACTACATGAGATTTACGGAAGGCCTTAGAAAAAATTTCTATCGATATATCGGAGACAATAATATTCTATTCCAATCATTGTTTCACCAATGACTCCTCTAGAATCGCTATTGATAATAAAAGATTCATATGATTTTATCATGAAACAAAGGATGTTCTTAAACCTTCGAGTTATTTTTCATCTCAATAATATTGAATTTTTCTATATCGATTGATTTATTAGTCAGCTGAATAATGTCTGCCTTTTATAGATCAAAACCATTCCAAGATCTTTCTGATCGATCATCTAACAACTTAAAAGTCTAATCAGAATATTTTTTCAATTAATTGTATTGAAAATGTTTGCTGGGAACTGATCACTGTTTGATAAAGTGAAATGTTCATTTTTGAATTATTCATAATTCAAACAAGTTATTGTTTTTTTCTTTATTGCAAATAGATAATCATACTTTTATTTTTTTTTATTACTAGATCTTTGATTCTCTACCAAATATAACTGATGAAAATGAACTTGCACGTTTTGGTGGACATGTTATGTTAGCTGATTATTGTCCATATAATCAAGAATTAGCCTATAAAAATTCGAATCGTGATTCAAGATGTTATCGACTAGAAAATCAACCACCAAGTATATTTAAAAAAGAATTTTTTTTTTCATCTACTTCTCTTCTAGATAGAGAAAATTATGCTCTTGAAAAATATTCTTCCGAATCAAAATGTTTTGATCATGGTTCTGTATGGGAACAATATATTGATCAATGTCATAAAAAACGTCGTGTTTCTCCACAAGCAGCTGGATGTTATCAAGTATTTATTTGAATTCAATTTATTTGATGTAATTCTTTTTTTTTTGTTTTCTTTAAGTTTGAATGTATATCATCCAAAGGAATTAATGTTCATATTGGAAAACAAAAATATCTTTGTGAATATCAAGGTCAAAATTTAACTATTATAACTGCTGAATATGATTCAATTTATGTTGGAACAATTATTTGTCCTGATTGTCAAATTATTTGTGGTTCTTCGGTTTGTTCGAAAATTTTTTGTATTAAAATTAATAATAATAAAAATTTATTATTTTGTTTTAGAATAATTTTCAATGCCCTTCAGAAACAAGTATTAATCATGTACAAAGACAACAACAACAACAACAACAACAACAATTAAATATTCGTTTATCTGTAGAAAATCTTTGCACAAAATTATATGAATATAATCAATCATCTATGTCAGATAAGACGAATCAATTACATATAATATTACAAACAATATTTCTTTTCTTTGTTTTTCTTTATACTCGCAAAGGATTTTAACAAAACAAAAAAAAATGAAGTTGATTTTCTTAAACTATCTAATTTCTTTATTATTATTTGATAAATTAATGAAAATTGTCTCTGGGGAAAAAAGAATGGACGGTTTTTGTTAAACTATTGATTTTCTAGGAAATTTAGCCATTTCCAAACGTAAACGATCTGATACATATTTAGTAAATAATTGCCACGTTTGTTTTTCTTCCATGTTTAATTCATCTTTAAGTTCATATTTAATAACGTGAAGAAGACTCTCGCCATAATACTAAAAGCAACAAAAAAAAGATACTTATACTTGAAATTTTCTTCAAAATTACTTTAAAATGAAATGTACGAACACCTTGTCCAAAAAGTTCAACGGCTTTTTCTCGAATTATTTCATCAAATCTTGTATCACTATTTTCAATGATATCCGAATATAATGCAAAAAAGTTTCCACTTGGTTGTTTGATTTCAGTAGCATTTAATAAATCAGCTTCAGTTTTGTATGCTTCAGGTACATGATAGAACGGTCGTATTTCAGGATATTTGTATAATAAACTAATGAGAATACAAAACATCTGTTCGTTTTTTTTACTTTAAATATAACTTACTAAGCAAATATTTTTTCTCCTAATTTATCAATTTTTTTCACATCAGGCCATGTTTGTTTTATTTGTTGAGCAACAACAGCAAAATCAGGAACCTGTAAGTTTGATGGTGTTGTTGTCGATGTTGCATTTGAGCTTCCGCAACCCATTGCTAGTGAAAAAATGAAGTGTTCTTTATTTTAACTTTATTAGATTGTAAATACATGAAAGAGACGAGAAGAAAATTTTATAATCTTCAATTGTATTTGATTAGATCGATATATTTTAAGAGTGATCATATATTTTATATAAGAGAACAAGCTTCTTTTTTTTTCAAGTTATATTATTAAAATTGGTCTATGAATATAGATATTTAGAATCATAGATTTATTTTATCATACAAAAGCTAAATCAAAAATGATGTTTAAGTCTAAAACCAACATTGTTTTTTTTTCGTGATTACTTTAATCACAAGATACATGATAATACTTTTATGACTGTACTCGATAAAGAAAAAACTTTCTGCAGTAAAAAAAAAAAATGTATACATTATTCTGATTTACAACAGGATAAAATTTTTAAATCACGATTGTCAATAAAATAAAAGATGTTAGCATAATTTCTATGGAATTAAAATGTGAAACATGATGTAACTGTTCTTGCTAATTACATGAAATTTTTTTTTATTCGATTTATTTTGGCATACATTTCTTCCTCACCATTTATATAATCCTCTAAAACTATAGTAAGGAAGTAGTTCACATACTCCAATGATATCTTAGTGATACAAGGTCTGTGATGGTCTTTGGAGACACTCTGTGAAGGTCCATGAGAGGGAGCGGAGGCGGGCTCAAATTTCTACCTCTATATACTTCAATACTCCTTTTAGATCGTGTCTCATAAAAACTAGACATTGAATTCGATGCCGTTTTTGGCTCAAGCTCCATTTATATCAACCAAAGATTTAACTATTAAGATGAAACAAAAAAAATCCAAATGATTCCTTAATTAAATAATGGACAATATACGATTTTATTAGATAATATATGGAAAACGCCATTAAATATTTTTTTCTTGAACTAGCTACATACTCGAATAATTTTGTCGTCGTATTGCTTTTACTAATGTTTTAGATGTCAACAAAAGAACTTTGTATACATCTAACAGAACTTCATGCGAAGTCGTTATTGAATAATAATGATACGTTTTTGTTTGATTGTGATGGTGTTCTTTGGAATTTTCCTGACATCTTTACAGGTGCAATTGAACTGCTGAATTATTTAACAGAACAAGTATTAAAATAATTTATGTTGAAATGTTTTTGAAAAACGATAGACTTTTTTCTTGATGAAGGGTAAACGATTGTTTTTTGTTACGAATAATTCAACTAAAACACAAGATGATTATGCAAAGCGATTCAATGATATTGGGTATAAAGCTAAACCTGTAAGATGAATTATAAATGTAATATTAAATATACATGAATTTATCCGATTAGGAACAAATTATTTGTACGGCATGGCTTACTGCTCAACATTTAAAATCAATCAATTTTAAAGGAAAATGCTATGTAGTTGGAATGCAATCAATGAAACATGAATTAGAACGAGAAGGTTTTCATATTTGTGGTGGTATCGGTGTAAGTATGAAGAGTAATAACGAGGAGAATAGTTGTTTTAATTTTCTTTTATGATTTAGCCCGATCCTTTACCTTCTGATACCAATGCAGTTAAAACAGATAAACTTGAATTGGATAAAGATGTTTGTATTGTTATACATAATGTATCGTACTGTAATTTGTTTTTCATTGTATATCCATGTATAGGTTGATTGTGTGGTATCTGCTCTTGATCTACATATAAGTTATATTAAAATTCTAAAGGCAGCAACTTATCTTAATCGACCAAATGTCCTCTTCTTAGCTACTAATGATGATGCAAGTCTTCCACAAAATGATGAAATTGTTATGCCTGGTAATTATTATGAAAATAAGATATCAAAGATTTTATTATTGAATTTTAGGTGCGGGTTCAGTTTTGGCTTCTGTTGCAACAGCTTCATGTCGTTCACCTACAATACTCGGCAAACCACATGGACCAATGTTCGATGCTATTCGTTTAAGATTTCCAGATGTTGATCCTAAGCGAACAGTAATGATTGGTGATCGGTAAAGTTTACAAGGATTTTTCTATCAATATAATTGTTCTCTTTATAATTTATTTTTAGAGTTGAAACTGATATTGCTTTTGGTAATCGACAAGGTACAACAACATTACTTGTATTTAGTGGAGCAACAAGCGAGAAATATTTGGATACTCTTAAACAACAAGTTGAAAAACATACAACTGAACGAGATCTTTTGCCTAATTTTTGTGTCAAAGATGTCGGACAGTTTTTACAATTTCTTATGTTAAATGAAAAAAGCACATTATGATAAGCTTGATTTCATTTGATATTGGCCAATATAGGTTAAAATAATAACAAAGAAGAATATTCCTTTAATATTTTTATTTTCTAGTCCATTTTTATTGAAGCTAATAAACTTTGATGGATACAATTGAAATTTTTTAAATCCATAATAAGTAATTATCATTTCTTCATTGAAGTATGTTGTTCTCTTGATCCTTATATGAAAATATGAGCTTTCGATCGTATTGAATCATTTTAATAAAATAAAATAATTTGTATATATGAACTGGATGAACATTGAGATCAAACTATGAAGGATTTTAAAATTAAAAACCAAAGCAGATTTGTAACAGTAGTTTTATTAAGTACAAATAAAGTATTACTAATTAAAAAAAATATTTTAATTTATTTAATTTAGATGTTTCAGCAAATTACATTCCTATTATCAAGAATATTTCCTATGTACTTTCATGAACTTTTATATCATATATACGTGTTTTTTTTTTATATTGGTCAATCCTACTAGAAATAAACCTGCTTAATATATCATCTATTTTTGCTTACTGAAAGAGAAATTGAATTTTCTAACACGTAATAATGAAAAAGATCGTGCAAAAATGTCGATGTGGGTGTGGATATGAGTGTTGGTGTTGGTAAAAGCTACAACAGCGATTTCGAAAACCATATCCACTCACACCCGCACTCACACCCTTTTTTGCTTTTATTCTGTATTGTATAAAGAGGAAAAAAACAAATAAACAATGAACATGCCTTTTTGTTCGTCCGACATCATATTATCATATGTTTTTCTTACTATAATATTCTAGCTACGACATAGTTCAAAAGCTCACTATAGCGATACATATTGTTCATTGATTGAGTCATATACTTTTATTTTATATACTATAACCTATAATATATGGGTCGGTATGAATTCGTGTGAATATGGGTTCACTTTGTGTGTTAATGCACAGTTTAGGCACTCTCATCCACACCAGCCCACCCACGCTCTTGAAAAAAAAAACATTCTATTTGTTCTCGTTGATCTTGTTTTTAAATACAATGTGGATGTAGTAATATGTTACAAAAGATTAAGATAGAAGCACATACACACGTACATTTCATTTTGAAATATGTATATTGTTTTTCATAAGATTGAAAACGCCGATGGCAACAGTAATAAACAATACGAAACTTAAGATTATTGCGTGCTTATATTTCTGCCAGCATGACGATCGTGATGATGATGCAATACAAGGCAAAGACGTTTGAATAAATTCTTTCGTTGCTTGTTGCTGGTTACTGGCAGTAGTTGGATCCGGTGTTTCATTCAAAGGAGTTACTTCAGGCGCATTATTCACACCATTTTCTATATTGGTAGTCATCATCCTTGAATAATCCTAGATGATTATTGGAAATTATCCAGCAGAGCGTACTTACTAAACTTTTTTCCTTTTTATGTGTGTTTGAAAAAAACAAGACTTGTTCGATTACGTAACAAAATCGTAATTTTGGTTGTCGCTTCTATAAAAAAATGACAGAATTGAATGATATTTTGCATTTATTTAAATCAATCGTGTGAGAAAGTAGTCATATTTTTGATGGCCACAGAATAGGAGAAAGCGAAAAAAAACTTTGCTTTTTATATCTCTGCTATGCATATTAATCATATTTCGATATTTTTATTCTCTTTGATCTTTCGGTTTATTTTTGTATGTATTAAAAGCATGACATCAAATTGGTCGGAAGAAAAAGAAACGAATACCAGGATCGCAAAAGAAAAATGGCGAAAATGAAATTATGAAATCAATTTCCTTCCGTTGGAAGATATTTGATGAACGCTCATAGTTTTGAATGTGATTTTTGGATTCTATGATGTAATTGATTGTGAAAACCTAACAATATAAGCTCTTAGAAGAATGCACAGAAATCAAACATGTATACGTTTACAATTATTTGCTTGTTCAATTATTGTTGCGTATTTCACTTGCTTCTTTAAAATATAGAGGTAGAAGTTAACACTAGTTTATTCAGTGGAAAGACCAGAGGCAGAAAAACAAGGTAGATGATAGAAAATGAACAAGAACAACTCAAATCTTTCCGAAAAAAGGAAAAGCATACCTATATGTATGTATAGATACATGTACGATATGTGATCTGGTGATAACAAGCAATTGAAGAAACATCAATCAATGCCGAAATCCAAATCCAAATCCATGAATACACTTGACATGAATTTTATCTTTAGAAACTTGATATTTTCAGAATGGAAAGTTGATTTGCGATAATAATTGTTTATCATGTTAGCGTGCTCTAGAAAACTAGAAAGAAGGTTGTAGTGGAAACACTGGTGAGAAGCCGCATGGATCTCAGCTTCCCGTAAAAACTTGCGAGCTTCCTCTATCAAAATTTTACATTCATTGAGACTGTTATATTTTCGTCAACAAAGTGGTAGACATTAGAAGATGTACATGCAAAGAAATATAAGTAAACACGTATTATTGTTTATCAGATTTCTGTCACAATTTTTGCTGATGTTTCATTGAAACTAGATGGCGCCTACTGTAGTGCATTTCAACATTCATTTGATGATTCATCTATATGCCCGCACTTACTAATATATATCCCCATATCGCAAATACCGGATCATTTTTAGCGGTAAACCGCGGTATACCATGTAAATTGCGGTAATAGGAGCCGGTAACCGGACCGGTAAAACCGCGGTAAACCGGCGTTGTTTTGCTCATTTTTATCATATAGGAAGATATGCGAAAAAGACGTTTAAAATTGCGAAATAGATGGTTTAAAGCAATTTTTTCTTAAATATTTAGGACTATCCGGTTAATCGGATATTTTACCGGTTAACCGCGGTAAACCGGATAATTTTTAGCGGTAAACCGTGGTATACCATGTAAATTGCGGTAATGGGAGCCGATAACCGGACCGGTAAAACCGCGGTAAACCACCGATTTTCTTCCGGTTTTCATCACATGGGTCGAATCGATCATGCTGATTGATAACGCGAAGTGAAAGAGCTAAAAAAAAGAAATATACTAAGAGAAACCTTTCCATATGTTTCATTACGATCAAACTGCGAATTTTTTGTCGTAACTGCGCGCAACTGCGATATTTTTTTCGTAGCTACGCGTTCGACTGCGATTAACTGTGCCGCAGTTACGCGCAGTTGCGATCAAAATTTCGCAGTTACACGCAACTACGACGCAGTCGTCAAAAAAGTGGCGGCATGGGTTCCCTCTGAAACTTCTGCAATTAAACGATGTACAGATTTCTGGATTCGTAATGAATATCGGTTTGTTTTCGATCTTTGGTAAAATGAAGAAGCAGATTTTGACAAGCATTTATCCTAATCTATTGTTATTGGATACATGGTAATGACATCTTCATCGTGGGTATGGTTGTGAATTCCCTCTTCGTCCACACCCACGTTCACTCACACTCCACAGTCCACACCCCACACTCACATCTGCACCCACACCTACTCTTAAGCATCCATCAAACTATATTTGGACTATAGTGTCATCTACGTTCAAAGTAGCCTATTTTTACAAGAAACGACAGTTGAGAACAAAGGACATTTTTTACACGAGGGATAATTTCAGAAGGACATTTCATTTGAAGGACAATTCATCTGAGGAACATTTTTCAAAGGACGGAATGCTGGGGACATCTCGTCAAGGACATTTTTGCAAGGGCATTCTAGACTGTTACCGTTATTTTTCTCTTGTCGGAATGTGTGATCGAACGCCATGTATTGCTAGTTGAGGATTGGCTTATTGTTCGTTATCAATGGTATACGGACCACGATCGTAGTGACGGATTGTTTTGTGGTAGCTTCATATCGATTCAACTTGCTATGTGTAGGTGAATTTTATCCAGAAATAATGGGGGCGACAAAATGGCCTCACCGCCATTTGTCCTCTGTTGTCGTTCGATTTTTATCGCACGAGATCGACTTTGGCAGAGCTTTTCTGAATTCAAATTTATTATTCATATTTTGATTCATTACTATATTTTATCAATAATCAAGAACTTCATAGCAATGAGCTGTTTGTGTTTCTTTATTAGTCAATAGACTCACGAACCTCGTTTCTTGCTACAAAGCACAAATTCTTAATTACGTTTTTATCATTTCAGCAATAAATTACAAATACTCGACCGTGAAATAGAAATACCAGGCTACTGTTTGTTAATGAGAAGCCATAGTGAATCAGAGAGTCGATCACACGAAACGAGTGTAAACAACGTTGTTTATCTTAAATGTGCGTTAAAAGGAAAGAAAATTTCGCAGTCATCGTCCTCTCCGCTTTTATACGTTAAACGTATAAACGACGAATACGAAGAATAATTTTGCATACGTATATTGGCAAGATAAGCTCATTAGATGTCTACTGATTGAAAAATTTGTGAAACTTCTGAAGACAACAGCCCTGCTTCCAATGCATAATAATTATCAATGAAAATAGAAAATCAATGACAATAGTTTGGATCCTTATCTTTTGTGATACAATTACATCGCCTAGGTTCGTCATTAAGCTATTGTAATAGGAAGAGGGAACGAGTAAAAGTGGAGCTAACATTTAATACCTAATATCTCACTCAAGGGACATCATAACAGCTAAATTTTAGAACATATAAATCGATTCAAAACTTTTAATCTCGTGTAGAGTTGGTAAAAATTACATCATTGGAAAGAGCAAAAAAAAGTGAGTATATGGTGAAATTTTCGCACATGGGGATGCTCAAGTTCTCAGTAAAACTTTTTTAAAAAGGATTCCATAGCAAAAACTACGTCGATATCTTGTTTTCTTTCTTTCTTTATCAAGTGAATATGCACATGCGTATGTGTGCACATATACGCATGTGCATATTCGGTTGACAAAGAAAGAAAGAAAAAAAGATATCGACGTAGTTCTTGCTCTTGAATCTTTGCAATTTTTTTTTGCGGAGAACTTGAACATACCCATCTGTGAAAATTTCACCATTTACTCAGTTTTTTCTGCTCTTTCCAATGATGTAATTTTTATCAACTCTGTACGAAATTAAAAATTTTGAACTGGTTGATATGATATAATAAAACTCTAAATAAAAAAAAACTGAATAGCTTTCAAGAATAGAGTATCTGATTCGTGAAGTTTATTCGGTTTTGAATGTAGAATTTTGTTGAGTTTTTTAGAACTATCATTATATCATTTGTGGAAGAAACTCCAGTTTAAACGACTCATCATTTCCTTGCAGACATGTAATAAACCGAATGAATCCATTTTTGAACTAAACATTCTACGGTCGTCGAGACACCCATAAAACTTTTAGCAGTGAAACCATTTAAAAGCTTTGTGCATGATACATTGAGATTTAAAAAATCTGCTACTTGAGATTCATTAGCAATTACTTATTTACAATAGAAAGGCTTTTCGTGAGTGATAAGCTCGAAGCAAATCTAGTGCAGATCATCACAAGCGGTTCCAAAATCACAAATATATAATATTTTATTTTGCGGACCATACTATGTCGAGTTATGACTATTTTTGCTTGATTTATATACTCTAGTAGGCCATTTATGAAGACATCGAGTTATGAAATTTCGCTCTGAAACTTGATATATAGGTAAGTGTGATGGATATTAAGATATCCAAAAAAATTTAACGAAAAAAATGTTTTTTTTTTTGAGATATCGAAGGTTGAAGATATTCGCTTTCTTGAGCCTATCTTGTGACACACAATCATGTTTTGAACATTCAATATTAAAATATTCATATATCTGTCAAATATGATTCTATGAAACTAGAAAATGAAAAAGAAAGATGAGTTTTTACTAAAAAACAAGATGAATAATGAAAAGCATTCGGTGGAATTCTTATGATATTAAAAGTAGAACATGATGAAACACTATAAGCTTCATAGAGCAAGATCATTACATCTATCATAGTTCATGATAAAACCAAAAATCAGCCTCTCAAACAATATTTTTAGCATCATGAATGATTTCAGATATGTCGATATGTCTGGCACGATTTGCCCAGGCAGACAAGCAAACGAGAAAAACGATGTTTAAACACCATGAGTTTCGACCGTTTAAACAGTGCGGTATGCCTCCCCCACCCCCGCCGAAAATGTGTTTAAACTAGTTAAAAACGTTTAGTTGTCTAACATATTGTCACCGTTTAAGCTGATAAAGTGTAAATGTCTGCGACTGTTTAAAGGCGGTTTTTGAAACATATCAAACTGTTTCAACAGTTTGGATGAATGTGGTTGAGAATGTTACTGTGGGCTCTCTATGTAGTCACAACTATTTCCAAACCTACTTCCCTCTCCAATATCCGCACCCACATCCACAAGCACTCAAACCATCAACACACCAAAATCATTATACGTGCAAACTAACCAACACACGCTCATAAACATAAAAACCTGCCCACGCTACACATGAGCACACATCCACAAACGCCTAAACTCATCCACGCCGATACACCCACATCTTTTTATAATATATTCAGGTTAAAGATATAAAAATACATTTTCATATATATATATAGCATTCTTTAACTACAAAAATTCAGCGAACAACATTCAGTACAACTTTCTGGCTATTCAATTATAAAGACATGTTTGAATTGTCAAACAAATTTTTTACTTCAGTTTTGGTTAGAGAAAAGTGTTTTGGCAATTATAGTGTAAGAAAATATTTAAATAGTGTGGAAACGACTGTAATGAATAATGTTCGATCAATTTAAGATGATCTAAACAAAAACGTAAACTTCTTATTTAAATGTGATTTATTTCGCAGCATCAAAATGAGCTCGTTTTAACGGTTTATAATCAAAATTTAATTAAAAAAACTATGAAAAACGCGTTTACACGATTTAAAACGGCAAAAAAGCTAATTTGATGCGCTTAAGCATTCTTATAACCGTTTTTTGTCCGTCTGAGTGTGAGATAAGTTGAAATCTTACGGCTCTCTTTATTCGAAATGAACACATTTTCGCCACCGAAAGCTATTCATTTCTCAACCGACTTTAGTCGAGAAGCTGTCATGTACTAAGAGAGTTACGACTAAATCACTGCTTCCATGATGAGGTCTGTGCATGATTTATCAAACATCGTTTCGAGATGTTGTCAAGGTCAACACACATGACTATAGTTTATCCTATTTTTTTCATATTTAGAATATTTGTTCTCAACTGTTACAAACTTTTTAGATAAGAGACACTTTTGTAAATGGAAGATATTATACAAATGTGCACCAACGTTTCTATACTTGCTTTTGGTGCTCATCCTGATGATGTCGAGGTCGGTATGGGTGGTACAATAGCTAAACATGTGGCAGCTGGTGTCAAGTTAGGTATTTGTGATTTGACCGCTGCTGAATTGTCATCAAATGGAACAGTGGAATTACGTAAGCAGGAAGCAGCAGAAGCAGGAAAAGTCTTAGGTTTATCGTATCGTAGCAACTTAGGTTTCCCGGATCGTGGTTTGGAGGGAACAACGGTACAGATTGGTGCTATCACTGCTGAAATTCGGCGACTGAAACCAAAGGTTGTATCAAGGGGGAAACAGCTGATTATTGATTAGGTTTGATTAAGAGTGATTAGAAGTGATTAGAAGTGATTAGGAGTGATTAGGAGTGATTAATAATCAAGCCTAATCAAGCCTATAGATTTGATTAGGCTTGATTAGGCTTGATTAGTAATCACTCCTAATCATTCCTAATCACTTCTAATCACTCTTAATCAAACCTAATCAATAATCAGCTGTTTCCCCCTTGGGTTGTATTCGCACCATATTGGGAAGACCGACATCCGGATCATATCGCCTGTAGTAAATTGGTAGAAGAAGCAATCTTTAATGCAAAGCTTCATCGTTATATGCCGGAGCTACCACCTGTAACCGTAGACCGAATTTTTTATTATTTTATAAATGACGTCGGTAAACCAGATTTGCTCATTGATGTTAGTGCAGTATATGAGCAAAAATTGAAAGCACTTTTGTGTTACCGTTCGCAGTTCGCAAGTGAGTTAAATGGAGACACTGTAGCTACGCCACTGAATAATCGATATATCGAGCGTATCAAGTGTCGTGATACACTCACTGGACATCACTACTTAGTTCCATTTGCAGAAGGTTTTGCGGTAAAAAAACCTTATTTAGTTGATCGTATTATATAGATATGAGTATTTTCGTCGAAAATATACGGCTTTATGTAATAATGTCATTGTTCAATGTAAAACGCAGAGAAATTGCAAATCTCAAAATTCTAAGATCATCCACAGACCAACCACTTCAATACGATGAAATTCGAAAATTTTAAATGACTACAAACATTAATGTTCAGCCAACATGATTACAGTCTGGTAAAAATATCTGCATAGTACGAAAGCGAGACTAGTTCAGATTTTGGATACGAACTTGGACACCTGAAAAAATGTTCGCCTTCACATATCAAACCATTTTAACTGATACTGACCTATCTATCCAAGCTAAAATATTTCATAACATAGCCGGGAAACATTTAGAGATTGCCGCGAAACCTAAAAAGCGTTTCGATATTTCCATTCAAACTCAGAAATATTTTTAATGTTGTACGGTATTCATATGTTTCAACCAGAGACATGTTGTTTGGAAAAGATTTATTGTGATCGTATGAAAACTGCAACGTGAATCAAGCTTTAAAATAAGTTTTTTGCGCGTAGCCTTAAAAAATGAGACTTTCAATTTCTCAAAGTTTTACATTGACTGGTGAAATCTTCTACAAAGCGGTATATTTTCAGAAGACTTACCTCTATGTTAAACACTGTTTTCTTTTTATACTTATCAAATTCGAATTAAATTATATTATTCTTACTTGTTGCATGGTTTTTCTGGCCTCAATAAGAGAGGGTCCATGAGTGCATTGAGCATTGCCATACTCCCAAAAATTTAATCTTCTTTTCTTTTCATTATTCGAACCAATAGCCCATGTTTAGAAACCTAAGAATTCAAATTGTAACCCTCTATATTTCAACTATTCTGAGTTCTCACAAACCGATTGAACGACGCTTTTTCGACAAAAAAAATTCATTTTGATCTTTTTTACGATAACTTTCAAAAAGTATGCGACATTTTCTTGGGCAGATCTTGATATATAAGATTATGTTGTATAACAAAATGAAAGAGCAAAAATCGCTTTACAAAACGGTACATTTGTCTTTTCCTTAGACTTCTACTATGAGACGTAAGAAGTCCGAAATTCGCAATCATATGAACGATTTTCAAAAACATTTGCTTCATATGGGCTTTTTATTTCAAAGCTTCAATTTCACAAACATGTCTCAATGGTTCTAAATAGAGTAATAGAACAGTTACTCATCGAGTAGAAGATAGGTGAAATTCCGTTACGAACGCATAATCTTTTCACCTTCGTCAAATCAGGAAGTAACCACACAAAAAATCGTCCTTCTCTACATTCTCTGATGAATTTCTCACCCAAATTCGAGTATTCTCATCCATTCTCAATCAAATAAAAACATTGACAATAACGTCATATTCAGAGTGCAAAAATACATCAGTCAGAATATTTTAAAGCTTTCCATCAATATGTGCACTAATAAATTCCTCCATTTGAATCCATGTCTCTTACTATTGAATAAAAGTAAATGATTCATGTGAGTTCAGTACTCATCAAATGGCTAGTGGCTCAGATGGCACAATGCGATCATGTGTATATCATCTTAGTTTACACGATCTTCCACTAAAATAGTTCTTTGTCTCGCGTAAAATCCATCGAAATTGAAATTTAAACTAAACAAAACATAGCGCTTGAAAAGCTATATAAATTGATATATTTCGATATTTGAATTCGAATGATGTGGACGTGATACAGACGGAACACATTCTATATCTGTAAGAGCCATGGGATTCAAATAGAGGAATTTATTAGTGCACATGTTGATGAAAATCATTAAAATATTCTGACTGATGTAGTTTTTGCATTCTGAATACAATGCTCTTAACAATGTCTTTATTTGATTGAGAATAGATTAGAATATTCGAATTCGTGTGAGAAATTCATCAGAGAATGTAAAGAAGGACGATTTTTTTTGGGTGGTTGCTTCCTGATTTGACGAAGGTGAAAAGATTATGCGCTTGTAATAGAACTTCAGCTATCTTCTACTCGATGAGTAGCTGTTCTATTATTCTATTTAGAACCGTTGAGACAGGTTTGTGAAATTGAAGCTTTGAAATAAAAAGGCCATATCATGAAAAGCAAAAAATTAGGTGAAAATGTTTTTGAAAATCGTTCATATGATGGCGAATTTCGGACTTCTTACGTCTCAGAGTAAAAGTCTTCGGAAAAGACAAATATTAAGTTTTGTAGAGCGATTTTTTGCTTTTTCATTTTGTTATACTACGTAATCTTTTATATCAATATTTGCTCAAGACAATGTCACCATAATTTTTGAAAGTTATCATAACAAAAAAGAACATGGAGTCTTTTTATCTGAAAAGTGTTGTTCAATCCGTTTGTGAGTACTCAGGATAGTTGAAATATAGAGGGTTAAAATTTGGAATTAATAGGTTTCTAAACACGGGCTATCGTTTCGAATAATGACAAGGAGGGAAGATTACGTTTTTGTTTGGTATGTCCCTGTTAAAAATGTTCGATTCATCTCGTGGGTTCTTTTAAGATCGATTAGGAAAAAAAGTCCAGCTTGATGGATGAACAGTTAAAAATAGGTGTTGTTTGCTTTTCCTCACTGGGCGGCTCTGGTGTCATGGGGACAGAACTGGGAAAATTATTGGCCGAAAAGGGATATCAAGTGCATTTTATTGGGCATAGCATACCATTTCGTCTGGATAAATTTTCAAAAAATATTTTTTATCATGAAGTCAAAGTAAGTGATCATCCTGTTTTCAAGAGTGCACCTTATGATTTGGCCCTTGCCAACAAAATCGCGCAAGTAGCTAATATGGAAAAACTCCACTTGATACATGTGCATTATGCGATGCCACATGCAGTTTGTGCATATTTAGCTAAACAAATAGTGGGCGATCATTTGAAAATAGTTACAACATTGCATGGAACCGATATAACTGTACTTGGAGTGGATGAAAGCTTAAAAGATTTGATATGCTTAGCAATCAATAAAAGCGATGCAGTTACAGCCGTTTCAAAAGACTTAATAAGAGAAGCTCGAATATTAGTTGATAATATGTATGATATCGACTTAACGTATAATTTTGTTGATGAACGAGTGTATCACCCACGAAACAGTGATCGATTACGTGCAGAGTTGGCTATCGGAAAAGATCAAGTTCTGTTGCATGTCTCTAATTTTCGTCCAGTAAAACGCGTTATTGACGTAATCGACATTTTCGCCCTCGTAAACCAAAAGATCGCATCGACACGATTATTATTAGTTGGTGAAGGACCAGAAATGTGCAATTTTCAAAAGCGACTACATGAATTGAAGTTAGAGAAGCATGTCCATTTTCTTTCGAAAGACGCTAACATATCGCATACTTTTTCACTAGCCGATGTGTTATTATTACCGTCGGAAAAAGAGAGCTTCGGACTCGTAGCTCTTGAAGCGATGGCATGTGGTATACCGACTGTTGGATCAATAGCAGGCGGGCTTCCAGAATTAGTTATTCATGGGCAAACTGGTTTTCTTGCACCGATTGGAGATACAAAGACAATGGCGGATTATACGATTCAGTTATTAACCGATAATGTACTAATGCACCAATTCTCATGTCAGTGTCTCATTCGCGCGAGAACAAAATTTAATCGTGAGACAATGGTGAACCGATATGAACAAATTTATTATCGAGTATTGAATCGAAAAATGCCTGAATTGTCATAGATTTGATATCAAAACCGAACTGAAGAAAGTAACAGTTCATTCTGGTTGTATTTATCATTACCTTTATTAATTCCTTCATATAAAAAAACTATTGTGCGTAAGAATATTGCTTTATCTAGATATACTAAGAGAAATAATTAATATTTCCAAATATTTATATAATATGTCCAACATCACTTGTAAAATGCAGAAGTACCGTTCATTGCATGCCAGTTCACCAGAACCTAGAATGACGGTGTGTAGAATCCCGTTATAAAAGAAATAATTCTTAGGCGCCATTTGTACTGAATATTGCTTGATATTTGAATTTTTTATTTAAATTCTCTTAATCTTAACCTTTTAAAAACTAATATAAAGATAAATTAACAAGAACGGTTAAATATATCCTTGTGTTTTAAACGTCTTCTTGTATATCATTTAAGTGATACTACAATTTGTTTTATCAAAAAAGAGATGTTTTTGATCCATTTATAGGCCAAGTGTGATTAGTTAGTTTAGATATGTCGACTTGTAATCAAATGTCTTCTGTTCTAGCCTCAGTCGCTGCAAAATTGAAATGTTTGTTTAAAAATATTATAGTACTTGTTCTGTTCTCTAGGAACAGCTGACCATCATGTGAACGTGATGGCGACACAGCACGAATCTGCGAGAATAAGATAATTGTTTTTTCCCAAACAATATAAGTGCGTCAGATGTTTTATTTTAGCCGCGTTCAATGCGTTTCATTCTTAGCGCTTCAAACGCAGTTAAAATGCATTTCTTAGTGCGTTTAAACGCAAGAAATTTTCACATAGGGGTACATGCGTCAAACAAGAACCTCTTTTACTGAAATTTTCTCCCTTTGGTTTTTTTTGTAGCAGTTGATCATATAGTTTGAAATCTCCGTACTCCAGTTATCAAAAATACGCAGAGAACTCCATGCTACTTACAGCAGTTAGAAGATGTCTCTGAGCTGTTAAGAGCCACCTTGTCTTGTTCTTTTGGTAACTACCTAACAGCAGCACTTCAAATTTTCAGGGCTAATGAAAAAGATTACAAGCATCGTGTGATGGCACATAAAACAATACTCAGTAAAGTTTGAAAAGTTTATTCATGTTTTCATCAGTCCAAAGAAAGTATAATCATGCAATAGCTGAAACAATATAGGATCCATGTTGTAAAACTTTGTGATGTGAAAGTATAAGTAGGGGCACACAAAAATCATTCGATGGAGTTTTCTTTTTATGGACGTTCAGATTGAGACGAGATAGACTTTAGTTAGCTTGATAAGAACACAGAGTAAGTGTTTGTGTGTGACCCGATCTGTCTCTCAGTTGTTTACAAGGAATTGTTAAAATTTTATGAGCATGGCAATTGCCAAAACTAAAACCGATTTTGGTTTTTAGACCCTAATGCAGTTCTTGTAAATTTTGAACCGACTATCGTACATAGCTGATAGGTCTTTCGTTTTGAAGATAAGGATTCGATCTGTATTTCTACCAAATACATTCGAATGTCTTGTTGTTTTTTTTTGTAAACACTGCATGCCTAGGTGTAGGCTTCCAAGATATGAGAACTCGATGAAAATAAATGTTTTCTAGTCAAGAAGAAATCACGAAAGCGGATATACCTAGTAGCGATATGGTGAGATAAATCGAAGGGAAAATTTTTGGCAACATCTAGATGAAACTAGAAAGCAGTCGACCGAAGAGTCTTAAAAGTTCAACTGGAGTGAAAGCCGATCAGTTTTACCATAATTACTTTATATGATTTGATTAATCGCACGTATGGTCAACAGCTACGACTACTCATGTGAAAATCTAAGCAAAAACGCTCGTTTAAAGTAGCTTAAATTTCTCGCTGAAAAGTGCTTTCGGTTGCATATTTAAGCACTTCTAAGCATTGGATTTCAATGAACGAACATACGTAGATGATTTGCTCCGATTGCTATCATTATGTGCCTGCATGTGGAGTACCACTAGAATAGCATAATCCTCAAAAAATTGGGAGTCTTATTCATATGTAATTCAGATGATAGCTTCTTACCGAACTGCTCGACTAATAGCTTTTGAAAAGAAATATATTTTTGAACTTCGTCTTGCAATTTTGTATACGAGATAGTCTCATTAAGACCTTCACGCATACCAAGTTGCAAGTCGAAGTTCAAAAGTATGTTTTTTTTATAAGCTGCTACTTCAGGAGTTCGGTAAGAAGTCGTTATCTGAATTAAATATTGAGAAGACTCAGCATTTGTGGAGGGTTATGCTATTCTAGTGGCATTCGACATATGATCACGGTATGATGGCAATGGAAGTGGATCGCCACGAAATGTTACTTTCTGAGTGGTGTGAGATCTGTTTACGACTCACTTTCTTTAGAGGACTAGTAGTTCCTAACCATTGAACATTAAATGTTAACTTCAAAAGCAATTAATTGGCTAAAAATACTTCACTTTAATATTATAATATTTTTGACTATATAGTAAGTTTTGTTCTCAACATTTTCTGAACAAACTGGGTAAACTGATGGATCTGAAAACATATTCGTGAAATTTAATGAACGATAAAAAGTCGAAATTAATTCGCATTTTTTTGTACAATATACGCAGCTCGAATGTTTGAACTTAAGAGTCAAAACTATTCTAATGTTAAAATTGAGTTGTTTTTAGCCAATTAGTCCACTTCGATTCGATTCGGGAACTGCTCTCTGCTAACTAACTACTTGGTGACCTATTTAAAATTGATACGATCTTCATGTTCTACCCGTATTCTACTATCTTCTAATATATAAATTGTAAATCGTCACTCATGATTTTTAAGAAATCTACATGCTTAATAATTTATTGCTTTTTCTATGCCAAAGAGAGATAAGGATTGAGGATAAAATAAATTGAACTCCCAGTGACCAGTTAAAATACAAAAAAATTGGCTGAGTTCGAATGTACTAATATTAAGACTATTATGAATTATCGTGTACTTGAAAAAAATGTAAAGTCACTGTTACAGAAAAGGAATGAACGTTCGGTTAAAAAAGAAACGGCAGAACTTAGTTCACAAAAATAATAAAATGAAGAACGGAATATCCACGCACGGTCGACATTCCTAGCTTGTTCTATTCGAGACTTAGAAGACTTTTCCTGAGACCCCCGATTTCAATCAATTAACTTCCGCTCCCCTCAAAAAAAGTCGCTTTTCGTCAGAATGATCGAAATTGAGATAAAGGCATGAAAAAATAACTCGTGATCTGCTCTTTCATAAACGACAACAAATTTTTACTCGACACCTCTTTTTTCCCAAAACTCTTGGAATATTTTCGTGATCCCCTATTCGAAAAAAACAGCTGTTTTTACAAAAATCCGAAAATTATTTTTCGTTTTTCTTAGAACGTGGGTTCGACGATATATCTCCAACGTCATTCTATCACAGTACGAGATAAAGTCAAATATTTTGTTTTGTTTGAAAGCTTGTGTGTAGAGCTAGCCCTCCTCGTGGCACTTTTTTAAAAATAAGCCTTTTTAGTATCATATAAGAGAACACCTCTATAGAATCAGCATCAATTTTTATGGATTTTTTTGAGTCATTGCGCTTGTCATTCCTTTTCTTCTCTTAAAAAGTAAGAATTTGAAAAATAAGGCCACGAGAGAGGCTGCATTCTGATATGCTCTTTCAAACAAAAAAAACTAAATGCCTAAAATGAAGACCCACAGAGAAAACATGGAAATACTATTGAGCTAGTTTTGACTCTTGTTTGGTGAATATCTCTGTTAAACATCATCGTGGTCGAAAATCTCTACCAAGGACTCATCTAATTGGTCAATTGCTGACCAATCAAATTCTTCTCTTTTGAGTAGTGAAACTGCAGATGTTTCTGATGCGCCTATCAAAATTTATTTAGCAAGCAGTGGAGCACGTTATATTTTTGAAATGCATAGTAGAAACTTCAGAGACGTCTTACAACTGTCTGCAAACAACACTTGATAAAGGTGCCGAAATGGTTCTAAAAGAGTACAGCATGGTTAAAGAAATGTATGCAAGAGTGAATGTTGCGATATTGGTGAAATAGATACAAACATTAAATCACGCTCATATCTTAGTAAATCCTTGTTTATCTTCAGTCACCCTCACTCATTTTTACTTTACTTCATATACATTCTCATTGCGCTAATTTTTTAGATATACATTTTAGATACACTTTTTGAAAGTATACAACTGACTTACTGCGAAGTAGATACAAACCACATACTTGATATTTAGCACATGGCTGTTAATCAAATTGATTTCCGAGCTACAGGAGCATTTTCTAAAATTATTCTGGACTATCTTGAGGAGAATGAAAAAATTCAACCGTATTATAAATATTCGATGAACATATCGTCCTTTCAAACTGTAATTGAAGACAAATCAAAGGAGAAGATTAACAGAAAAGTTCTAGTTGATGTTCTTGAGAAACAACACAAGCAGTTACCTCACAATGAAAAAGTCATTCACAATATTCATCTATTAATGAACTTAGATACTTATACAGTAACAACAGGACATCAATTGAATATTTTTACTGGACCACTTTATTTCATCTATAAAGTTATTAGTACAATTAATTTGGCAAAAAAGATCAGTGAAGAAAATTCGAGGGTGAAAGTTGTTCCCGTATATTGGATGGCGACAGAAGATCATGATTTTGTTGAGATCAATCATATCAATTTGTTTAAGAAAACAATAATCTGGAATGTGCAAAATGATATTAAAGGTGCTGTTGGACGTATCAATATTACGAATAACATTCAAAATACTATCGAAGATGTCAAACTTATTCTCGGTTTTTCGGAATATGCTTTACAGCTGACTTCAATTATCGAAGAAGCATATTTGAAAAACGTTTCTTTAGCCGATGCAACACGATACTTGGTACATCAATTATTTCATGATGAAGGATTGATTATATTAGATCCTGATAATCATGATTTCAAAGAAATCTTTGCTAAAATTATCGAACAAGACATTCTGACAAAACAAAGTTTCCATTGTGTGAATGAAACTGTTCGGCAAATAAATAAACATTATAGAGTTCAAGCAATTCCAAGAGAAATCAATTTCTTTTATTTGCTTGATAATTATCGGGTATTGATTGTTACAGATGAAGACAAGTATAAAACAAATGACGAAAAGTACACATTCACAAAGGAGCAATTGCAAAAAGAGATACAATTATTTCCGGAACGATTTAGTCCAAATGTTATAATCAGACCCTTATATCAGGAATTCTTGCTTCCAAACCTCGCTTACGTAGGCGGTCCAAGTGAACTTGCCTATTGGTTAGAATTACGATCCACGTTTGAATTCTACAACGTGAATTTTCCGATGTTAGTTTTGAGAAATAGTGCATTGATAATTGATGGCAAAATGTTCGAACTTATGAAAAAACTTCATGTGTCAACATCTGATTTATTCTTACCTATCGATCAACTTATAAAATCATTTGTTATTAAACATTCAAATGACGAGATCAATCTGGAAGAAGAAATCGATTCAATTGAACAATCGTTTGCACAAATTTTAGACAAAGGTGTAAAAATCGATCCAGCATTAAAAGGTCCAATTCGAACAGAAAGATCCAGAATGTTAAAAGTATTAAAAAATTTGGAAAAGAAATTATTAAAAGCTAAAAAGAAAAAATTCGAAACTGACATCGAACATTTGAAGAAAATCAAAGAACATTTATTTCCAGCTGGAAGCTTACAAGAACGTCATGATAATTTTATGAAGTTCTATTTAAAAAAAGGAGATCGATATCTTCCTGATTTAATTAATACATTGGAACCATTATCAAAAACGTATGCGGTAATTTCAGAGACAATGGAATAATTGGTGGGGGGGGGGGAGGCGAGAAAGCATTTTTTTAAGAAGAACCATACGTTTAAATGCTTTTCCAATGACTGAAAAATTCAACGATGAACTATGAAGGCTAGCTTTGACAAAATAGAAATAAGACGATCTCGACTCTTGTTCTCTAGAAAGAATAAAGCTTTTCTTAATACACTGTTTATAAATGAGACACAATATCAAAACATCAAATAAAAATTTTATTCAATCGAAAAATTCAAACCGACGGAAAATTCAAGCAAGATTTATTACGTGTGGCGAAGGTAGGGATAAATAGTTACTATTTGTCTTAAAAAAATAACTGCCTTTCGCGCTTTTCGACATACTTAAATGCTTCTTTTTAAGCTATCAAACATGAAAACAAATGCTACCTAGCACAAGTGATTGCAATTCATGAGCCCCAGTAGAAAGCTAAAGTACACAGGATGCCATAATCCTGATACACTTGGTATCGGCATCTTCAGTACCAATTCTCATAAGTTATTTATCTAGGAAGTAAGAAGGATTCGAGTTGGTTTGAAGTATCGGGTATTCGCATCAAGATCCTAGTTTCACTGTGGATATCTCACACCCTAAATCACTCACTCCTGAAGACATGGTCTGTATCATCATGGACACCGATATGGATACCTCGATATCCCAAATCACCTGAAATCTCTCAGATCTGAGAATGCATAGTTCATCTAGCAGCATGACGACTTACCAACGGGGTATTGTGCCATGTGGCTATCGATATTCAGATTATTGGTATTATGACATCTCTGATTTTTGCTTAAGGACAGAGAAATAGGCGAACCATTTCACTGAAAGAAAGAAGCATCAGTGTGGGCGCAAGTTAAAAAGAAGATTCATAGTCACAAGCACGTCCACATCCACTGTGTTAATTTTTCTTGACTTTGCGCGGCCTTTTGTGAAATATTGAAAAACTCAATGCATCATTTTGTCGGCCATGAGAAGGTCTGTCAATTGAACGAATGCTATTTTTCTAGCATAATGTAAATTTATCAAAACAAAACATTTTGTTTGTCCTCCATTATTGACATCTTAAGAATCTCTCAATGAGACTCATCCATATTTTGATCTACTTAAGTCAAGTATACAATCAATTCGAATTTAAATTTGTTACCATATTGAAATAAAGTATTCTTCTATGATTAGGACCAGATAGAACTACAGTCAACGATCCTTTCTTTAATAATTTACACAACTAAGCACAATGATCAATGTTTCACACTTGTTCTTCAAGAAGATTGATCACAGGAATCTTACAAACCTACTGAAGATCTCTTTTTAACAGAGTTAAAAAGAATATATTTGAAAACATAAGAAAATTACGTAAGAATGGTCTGAAATATGTTTCTCCACAAGAAAAGAAATAATTAGTTGCGCAAAACAAAACATATTTGTCAAAGGGCTTTTTTGGAATTTAGTATCACTAACCGAATATGGTCTTCTAACTTTCATTGCATATTGTAGAGGATCGTTGCAACTATCTTTTGAGAAAATATTCAAATCGGAACTGCCAAAGCTGAAAGTTTTATTAAAAAAAAACACTCATAGGCTCATTTCTTATGGGTGTGGGATGGATATCGCATGTTAATAAACAAAATATTCGCACCTCAGCGCACACCCACACCCACACCCACATCCACACTCACCCCGTGAATTTCAAGCATAAATGGATCGGATAAGAAATAGAATCTAGGAAATATGCCACTTTTGTTTCTAAATAGACAACAAGACATTTTGTCAAAGTTCTAATTGCCCAAGCATATTACTACGGGGGCCAATTGATTTCCCCCTTTTGTTTTTTGGGGAACCGGAAAGATAAGCACAAGGAAAGTTCAGCACTGGAAAGTTGAGCACGAAAAGGAAAATTAATTTAGGCATGCTGATAATGGACAGCCTGAGGGAAAAACAGCTGATTTTAAGATTTCAAGACTTCAGAAGAGTTCACGAGACTTCAAAAGATTTTGAAAGACATTAAAAGATCTTAAAGGATTTTTCAGAACTTTTAGGGATTCTCAAAAACTTCCTGGAACTTCATAAGACTTCATGAGACTGTGTGTAACTTTCAAATACTGCAAAAGACTTACGAGACTTCAAAAAATTTCAAGAGACTTCTAAAGATTCCCAGAGATTTTATAAGACTTCAACAGACTTTTAAGACTTCACAACTGAAATCCCTGCTGCTTCCCCCTTGGGGCTGACGAATGCTGAGTGTAGATGTAGAATGGGTGACTGTTGGTGAAAGTGAATTGGCGTAGATGCGAGTGAGTGTGGGTGTGAATGAGATGGGTGGTTATGAGCCCGCAGGGTGTATATAACAGCTTAATCTCCTATTTACACCCACATATACATCCACCTATCGACTTACATTCACAACCACTCGGTTGTCTCATCGATCCTCACATGCCTACCTCCACCCAATCATCCATTCTACCGGCACCCACTTGCCCATCCTCACCTGTACCTACTCCCTCGACACCCATTTTCCCACCTACACCTACACCCAGCATTCGTCTGCCCATTATCAGCATGTCTAAATTAATATCCATTTTCGTACTCAACTTTCTGGTGCTGAACTTTCTCCGTGCTCAACTTTCTGTGCTTAACTTTCCGTGCTCATCTTTCCTCGTGCTCAACTTTCACCAATCCCGTTTTTTGCTTTTGTTGCTGTACCTCTTTTATTTGTTAACCTACTTATATATAGCGAGAAAGTTCAGAACGCGCTGCATCTTTTGGTATATTTGTCTTAAACATAAAATGCAATTTTGAAGTGTAAAAAATGTATTTGAAAAAAGTGGCATTTTTTTTACTACTATACTGGGTGTCCATGCTGCAGCCACATTTTGTATTTCGCATATATTTCGGCTTAGGTGAATGATAAACTTTTGATTTATTTTCCAATAGATGCACCGTGAAAAGCGCTATAAAATCTATATGATTGAATTCCTAGTTTACTGTTCTAATGGGTTTTTCTTATATTCCAAATGAACAATCTGCATGACAGTGTCACTTTTCATCATATTGAAAATGTTTCGAAGACTTTTCTAATTCGTTATAAGCCTTCGATTAGATAGCTTTCGTACAGCTTTCGATGGCACACCTTTGAAAAAGAATTCAATATTCTATAATTTTCTCAGCTCGAGATATATGCAAAACAAAATGTTCTCCGTAAATTTTGAACATGATGGGAAGTAACTCTGTCATGCAGGTTGTTCATTTCCAATATAAGAAAAACCATTAAAACAGTAAACAAGAAATTCAATCATTTAATTTTTTATAGAGCTATTCATGGCGCATCTGTTGGATAATAAATCCAGAATTTATCATTTATCTAAGCGGAGATACATGCTAAATACAATATGTTACAACATTATGGACACCTAGTATTGCAGTAAAAAAACAGTCCTTTTTTCTAAGACATTTTTTACACTTTAAACTAAATTTTATGTTTAAGATAAATATACCAAAAGATGTAGCGCGTTCTGCGCTTTCTCCCTATATATAGTAGGTTAACAAATAAAAGAGGTACAGCAACAAAAGCAAAAAACGAAAGGGGGAAATCAATTGGTCCCCACAGTATTATTTAAAAGTAGAAATCATTTTCATCTGATATACAGCATGATAATATATTTGAATTTTTCTATAGAAAATAAAATCAAATAATTGATTTAGTAGGATAATTAAATCATTACGTGATTTCAAAAGGCAGAAAAATTAAATGAATTAAAATATTTTTATATATAAACTGATTGTCAATTAAAAATGTTAAAACAATACATTTCTTAAAGGTTGACTCTTGCTTTTGATATCAATTTAATTTACGTTTTGTTTACATTAGCAAAACAGCATGCTTCTTGTTGTATTTGTTTGTCAATATCATCACTGACTACTAGTTCTTCTAGGTAGAAAAGCGACGATTGGATAGCTTAATGGCCATGTGCATCTCTTGATGACTCGAATCAATCATAAACAATCGTCTCGAGCAAAAAACAGCTTCAAACCTGAAGAGTTTTGTTCGTCAGTGAACTGGAATTAGACTACCTAAGCTTCAATGAATCTCTTGGAAAATGTTTCGACAAACAAAGAAAAATTTTGATAAGATGGATATCACAATTTTACAACATCGCTTGCCTATTATATCTGTATTATGCAGTGTTTTCTGTCTGTCGACATGAGAATGAGATTAAAATTAGGTTCTATCCTTTGTTCTCTTGCACACAAGTTTTTTTGAGATCATTTTCCCTATATATTGCAATGCTTCAAACTATTCATCGTCAACAAGTTATTATATATTCAAATGACATTCTTATTAAAGCTTTCTTCGCTGGACTTTAGTCTATTCATTGTGCGATAATATTGTTTTTGTACAAACTAGAAGCAAACATTCAGAAAGAAAGCATCAAAATAAAGATTATTCGGTCGAATGATTCAAACAGAGCTTAAACATTTAATGAAATTTACAGATCTAAATCTCTACTATTTTGTCCATTACCTTCAGTTTTGGGTGTGGATAAATGAGCAATGAATGAAGAGAAGATCATATCCGATACGAACATTAGCATCTACTACCACTAGAGCCCGTCGGGTAGGACCCCGACCCGAACGGGTCCGGGTAGGGTTTGGGTCTGGAAATTTTCTATAAATCGGGTCCGAGTCGGGTCTGGGTCTAAAGCAATTTTTGATGCATATGAGAATATTTTTCGAAGTTTTACTGATCTTCAGTTTTCTCCGAAGAGCTAGTTGGTTTTGGTTGTTAGTGTTGAAAATAAATTGTTTGTGTTCAGTAGAACACGTTCCTTTGGTCTCAGATACAGACAAGATTGGGTCTGAGTAGGGTTCGTGTCCAAGAAAATTTCAACAAAGCGGGTTCGGGTTCGAAGCCGGGTCCAAAAATATTGGACCCGATGGGCTCTAACTACCATCCTGCAAAATCAATAACGATACAGATCAACAAAGTCAGTATACCACGCTAC